AATTATCGATTTCTCATATATCAACTGACGATGTTTCCTCTGAAGCTCGGCACGCTAAATTTCTGAAAAGAATGAGACTCGAGCTCATCTTTTTGAAACACCATTAGCAAAACGTCGCAAGTCGAGGAAGAAAGCTGATGGCCAAAGACCTCTACCTTGCCTCATTCGGAGTACAAGCATCTGTCGGAAGCGTTCATAGTATCTCCGGTCTGGTGACAACATATTTCTGCTATCTCTTAAGCTTTCAGATGAGATTGAGATGGATTTGGCCGTCAAATTACTCCCGTTTAGCCAATGTTTTGGCGAAATAGTGGTCTATGGTTTACCACGAAGATAGAAGCTAGTACAAACAAATCTAAGCACCAGATCATTCACTTCGCTGGCTGGTAACTTCTATCGTTAGTTATGTTTTTGAAGGGCGAAGCTTTTTGAAAATTCATTCAAATAAGAAAAATTTGAAAACTCTTTCATAGAAGCCGATCTTCGAAATTTTAGTACTTTGCCGAGTACATACGATTCAAAAGGGCCGCATTTTCAATAGTCCAAGCTTTGTTTTTGTCTAGCATGCTTCATGAAGGAAAAAATATTGCATGTGACCCCCTCGCCTCCCCCCCGCCCCGCATACTTTCCGGGCAGGCTCATTCACCCTCGCGCTCCTTTCTCCCATGCTCATTCCCTAGCGATCATCTACTTTACCCCCCCCCCCCCCCGTCGTTGCAGCCAACAGCTTCGCCCCGCCTTTCTCACCCCGTCGCGTGCGCTCATCGACGATCTCTGGAACGATGCCAGGCGCTTTCTCTTGTTACGTTTTTCTTGTTTTTTTACGCTGGGTTTACATACAGCCCAGATTTGCAGAATCTCATAGCGCTATTCTCCTTCTTTTTCTTCACAGGCTTTTCCCTACCAATTCTTTTCATTAGCTATTTGCCTTTCCATGTACTAATTGTTTTCTGTGCACAGCGGTAGACATTCTATCGATTCTTGTTGAAGAGTGGGGAAACAACAATATCATTCCCTAGCAATAAACCACCAGCAAAAAAACATTTTTTGCTTACATAGGCACGAGAAAAGTGTGTAGGGGAATGATTCACCACACTAGCTTTACCTTCTCTTTTATACTCTTGTCTGCATTTTTTTTTATCCGAAATCTTCAAAGACATTATCAAAGGAACACTTTCGTTATCTCAATTGGCGACTATCTCAAACGTAATCAGTGAATTTTTAGGGTATATTTTTGTTTTTCCGTCAAGATGGTTATCACCAAAAGACCCATCTACACCACCTGAGTTTTTATCAAATTATCAGTGGTGTGTCATTGTGTAAACAGTTTACATTCTTGGCTGTTTAACTGACATCGATAGTAAAAACCCGTCATTCGTTATTCACGTTGCTACCTTCTAACCCTAAATATCCATAGCCTATCAAGCTTTTCAAATTAATATATTTTCAAATTAATATATTCCAATTTTCCATCAATAGCACGGTCAGAGAATAATGCTATAACGACGACACAGTGACGTATGAAATGACCAGTTTGATCTAAAATTGTGTATATTAAACAAAGCAAACTGTCCTACATTATGAAAAAAATTTTGAACCTTTTATTTGTTCAATATCGTGGGTCGGTACATATAATATCTTCCTTCCATAGTTAACTCTGAATATTTAGCAAAAAAAACTTAGGAAACAAGGCATATATGTACTTGGGTTCTCTTTTGTGAATCTGCCAGAAATGTACTTTCCACTCTCAGGAATTCCCCAGAGTTTTCCTTCTTTAGCCCAACTTTCTTAAACGTCTTTCCGATGATGTCATGCCACATTTGTCAATGTCTGACGACATCGGCAAAAGTTCGAGAAGCAACCTAATCACATTCTATTTTTTCTCGACATTCTTTCTGGCTTTCCTGGATGCTATTTTGAACAAATTTCCCTACCCTTTGACGTACGATGACGTCATCGCTCAGAGATCTGCTTTGCTTCGATGATTCATCATTATTACACAATCTGTTCTCTGACGTACCATACCGATAAGCTTTGACTTTCTGCAAAGGTATTTAAGTACTTTATAGCCACTTCACTATGCATTTGAATTCGATCTCATCACTTCTGTTGTGAAACGTTGATGGAGACAATTTTCTGCGGTGTTCTGGCATCCACATTACTTCCCGCAAATTGCTTTAGACAAGCGTGTAGCTTCTCCTCCATCGCTAATCATTGAATGCAGAATGGTTTGCGGTAAGATGTTTTTCTTGAAAACTTTTCAACAAAACTTGCGATTGATCGTTTCTATACGAAAACGGAAGGAAGAATAATTTTTAGTGCTGCTTCATCTATATTCGTCATACTAGTGCATACTCAAATTTTCACCTGCAACTTACATCAAGCATAAGTATCTCCATCCATTTTAAGACTCACACTTATTTTTTTGTTGTTTCTATCAAAACCATTGAACTAAGGCTATAGCCACTGAAACTCTGCTAACTCTCCTTGTTCTTCCTTCCCTAAAAAACGTTAACGACCCTATCCTGGAAAATTTGACAAAACCCATACATTCTGATTCTGTGCATCAATGTTCTCTTCCACTGGTCACTCAATTCATCATTATCTTCAGAAAGTAGTTATTAGCGTCTCCTATCTCGTAGTTTTCCTTCTCTAAGATCAAGTCCATTGTAGATATATCAACTCATCATACAAATTCAGATTACCTATAGATTCCACTTACAAAGGATGCAAAAGCTTTTCTTTATGATTCTGACTGTTTCTTTTAAATTCATTTGCTATGATACTTTTGAGAATCAGATGTTCATGGCTGAACTTACATTGTTCAAAGGTGTCGAGAATCCATCCTGGCAATCTAACCTCTAACTGAAACTCTCCAGTATATGGTTGTTGCTGTTGTTTCAATTGATTGTTTTTTTATTTTGTTTGGTTCTTATACGTAGGAGCATTCTCCTGCAATGAACATATATTAGCTAATTCGAAAAAAAAATTCAAAAGTAGAGTTACAATACGCTTGAGAGCTCGTGTTTATCTCCTCTATGATTTAGTGCAAATTCGGTTTTATGTTCTGTTCGCACAGACAAGTGTTTCATAAAATTCTTATTCATAAAGTCTTAAGATGCGCATAATACCCACTGTCAATACGAACACCTGCTCTAATTGTTGCAAACATCTGTTGAAAATGCTGCTAATCCTAAAGCATTCGAAATGAGAATGAGAATCGACACTTCCTCTCTTGCTTGATCAATACCTCTGCTTTTCCGGCAGTGTGGCTCTATCCCGAAATAGATCTATTGCTCATAGCCCAGTTGTCTAGACAAACAGATTTTTGACCAACAAGCTCGTGCTAGCATCTCACCCTCGCTGCCGAATACTCGATTATCAGCGTAGCTGGATTTCTTAACTTCCGAAAAATCGAGAAGAAAATATTCGCTAAAGGTATAGCTAACTCATGTATCAATGTCTAATATCATGCGTGGTATGACGAGATCATGAGGCGATTTCAACTTCAATGGTAGGATTTCTAGATGTTTGCACATCTCATTCAAAACTTTTTTCTCTGGTAGCCTGATTTTATATGTGACTGACGACGTTTCATGCTTGCGTAGCATTAATTCATCGTAATGTTATCTCGATGGCCTCACTTCTACACGAACTTTTCGCAAGTCATAACAAATATAAAATGGTAATGGTTTGCGTCTGGACTACAACTGTGACCTGCTTCAAGTGAGACTTAATGTAAGGTTAACAATAGCATGCAAAAAGTATGACTATCTAATTTCTTCATTTACTTGCTTCTCATACTTTCTTCTACCTTGCTTCTCACACTTTATTCTACTCCATGGATCATTGGTAAAATTCATCAAAATCAAACAACATATTTGTGATTGTGCTTCCTAGCTTGCAAAGGCCTGGCAGTCCATTGCAAATCGTGAAACCAATTCTATAGTGAGATTCAATTTGCCACTTGCCCGTTGATGCTCTCTTTTTTCCATTATTCTTCAAAAAATCAAGGCATTATTCAAACAAGTCTTTATTTTTTCATTCGCTAAAGTATGCAAGCTTGAAAATGTGAATATTATGTTGTTGGATCGAATAGGCAAACGAAATAGGCCATGGCTTCTTTTCTATACTTTTTTCTTTTCTCTTTGTTTTTTTCGTTGAGTTGCGTCTGGATTGATAACTTGAAAACCTGTGTCTGCCATATCCTATACGAACTCGCAAAAATATTTCTGAAAGGGCCCATCACAGATGTATTGTATTTTACACCAAGATTTGATGAGACATTGTTCGAAGGTTTTTTCTCGATGCAAATGACTTGTGACTTGCTTTTGCTCCATAATCATCGCAGAAAAGACCTTTGATTTTATTTACCAGGAAATGACCTGCTACGCCAGTTTAGGCCTGTATAATAAATCTGGACACTAATTTTTCACCAGACTCAGACACCTCTATAGTTGACTGGAACTTCTATCTCACAGTGTCATGTGAATGCTAAGTAATGTGTCAAACAGTTGCCAAGAGGTGACACTGTTGTCGCGAGCATAAACAAAGATATGTTTGATAATACATAGTGTCTATCAGTTTTTCATCTTACAGTTTGATGAATGACCCCATGTTTTCGGCTTTTTTTGCCTCGACGTCGAGGCACTGTGATTGATAATGCATGGAGCCAGCAATGAGGTTTACAAGGCTTTCCCATCAAATCTATCTTGGCTGGGATGTAGCAGAGGCAGATCATGTCTCCATCATCGCTGTGATTTTAGGCCAAGATGGAGAGCTTCTAACTCATCTGTTCCTGGAATTTTCTTTTATTTCTTCTTTCGCGTACGTCTTATTGTTAGCAATCTTTCCAGTTTAGATCATTTTGGATGATGGTTTAGATAATTATTCGAACCTAAATCAGTCTCTAACAAATTCAAGCTAATCTTGTTGATGTCCTTATCATAACAACAATTCTTGGCTTTCCGAAAAACCATCATTTCACTCCTGCCATCCTACTCATTCGGTTGAACAAACGGCTGTCGGTTTTTCACCGACGTGGTCGTGACATGTTCCTGGCATAAGTTGACACAATCAGTGTGTCTGCAACTTATATCTCCTGTCAGAATTTACTTTGAGCTGCTGCTCTCACTAATCTGCCATGGGAAACTCAACCAGTGCCAGGTTACAGCGTTTACGCTTCTGTCTCCCGTCTTCTTCCACATTTTTCAAATTTTTCCGCCATTTGACCAGGACATTGGATTTGACAGCTGAAGCTACATTGTTTTTATAGTTCACAAGAGAAAGCCCGTTATTCGTACGGTAAAGAAACGGATTCTAATCGTCGAATGTTTGATGCGCTCGAACCGAGCTCTAGCACTCCGTCTGTGATATTATCATTGACACTGAGAGCAAGGTGAGTAAAAGTTTACTTTTCGATTTGAAGAAATTATTGGAATGTCATTTTTTGCTTTTCTGCGTGCTTAGCTCCATACACTTTTGCTTTTCAAACGTTTTTCTCAAATTTTAGTTACTCATTTGTATTCCCCTTTTCGTCTTCATGACTCAAAAATGTCTTACTTGACCTTTCATTTCGCTTTACTAGCAAAGATACCAATTTGGTGCAAATAGAATATTCGCACCGCTTCAAGCCTGTGTAATAAATTTGTTTGCATTTTCTATTTTTTTTCAATATTTTCTACTGCTACTGGTAAAGTGTGTAGACATTTTTGAAAACTATTACAGAGACCATCCTATTGCCGTGTCTGAATTGTTCGTTAATTATCCTCTCTTGGGAGTGCCTTAAACTGTCCAACGCTGAAGAAAAGACGTTATAACAGAAAGCCAATCTTTAAACTTACATGCTAAATTTTTCTAACATTTTAGCACTCTTGAGCAGTCTGTGTAAGGCTATAGCATTGTCTCCCTGCACGCAGCAGATTTTCGGAGCGGTTTTGGAATCTTGAAGTATTTAAAAGGCGGTAAAATATTTCAAATATTCTACACACATCAGCAGTCAGGAGATCACAGTCTCGGTAGATCACCTTAAGCACTGAACATGCTAAATTGCTCACGCAGTTGCAGTCATCAATAAGTGAAATCCAGTCCATCCTTAAAAATTTCCTTAATAATTTCTTAACTCTTCATTCATGTAGTGTAAAGAAATGGTAGAAGATACCAAAAAAACAGAGACAACACAGTTTGCTATTTTTCGATTCGTTGTTTCTTGCTGAGAGAGCTAAGTCGTTTCCTCTTTTCTCCAGAAACTGCCTTTAAACTCAAATTCGACTCAGCCTGGCAGTGATCCACATTCATTATCTAAGCTGTGTGTGCTGTCCTCCCTGATTGTTAATTTTAGGAAATTACGCGATAAAGATGTTTTCTCGAAAAGTGATCCAATGTGCGTCGTGTCACAGTTCGTCGGACGACTCACAGGCGAGTTACAAAAGTCAATCGCTTCTGTTTTTACTACTATCATGAAAAGCCTTTTCTCTTTTCACAGTCACTGAGAGTGGCTTGGTCGTGAATCATGTATGTCGCTCCGATTAATGATCTGCTTGTCGCTAGATTCGTAGAAGCTGGGCAGTATGGACAAATAGAAAACAATTCACATCTACCTTAATTTTGACATAGTAGATTATTTGAGCCGATATTTCGAACACTAGTTCTGTACGGGCAAAGTGCAGAATTTTTCTAAACTACACATGTGATTTTTCTTGCTACTATCTTCATTTTGATTTAGTCAGATTTTGGGAATTATGCGTAACTTCTTTCTAACTTTCCGAATATTGATTGGATGTTTTCTCGTGCAGAACTATTTTCCTTTTCAGGTAAAGGGCATTGGAAAGAATGCGGTCGGACCGAACGATTGCAGAACACCCTCAATCCTGAATGGGCTACACCACTTCGAATTGAGTACTTCTTTGAAGAGAAACAATCGATGAAGTTCGAAGTGTGAGTTTACCCGAAAATGTCTATCACGTTTACCACTATGATACGATAAGGGGGAAACTTTAAAAATTTGAAAACTTTTTATGGCAGTTACAAATGTGCCAGCTGAACCTTGCTGGCAGTGATTTTTTGTAATCGCATATCTTTCCACTCGGTCCCAGTATTCCCCCCCCCCCTCCTCCCTGGAGTCGTAACCGTTTCTTTTAAATGTCGTTTTTTTCTCTTACTGTCTCTCATTATATCTGGTGCAGTGCATACTATATGAGATATAAATATGTGCAAGCGACTATTTATACTTGTAAATAATTAACTTGATTTTTAAAAATTCTTAAAATTCAAAATCCCTATGAAATTTTTTTCGGAGGGTGACTGCCGCCACGCCCCCTTTTTCGAAATTTTGGACCCGGGCCCGCAAAAATTTCAGAAAGCATACAAAATTTTCGGAGTGCGTGGCTGACGCCACGCATTCGGAAAAAAGTTAGAAAAACTAATAAAATAGATTACCACCAGAAAATTATTTTGTCCCCCCCCCCCCCAAATAGAAATTCTGGGTATCCCACTGACCTGGTGATATGCTCCTAGTCGTCCTCTTCAGTTACGATATTGACTCCGACTCTCCCGAACTCTCCGCCCACGATTTCCTTGGACGGATGGAATGTGATCTTGCAGAAATTGTCTCCAATCGTCCTTTTGTCAAACAGCTCAGGTATAACAATGCTTTTTAAAATACTGAGTATCTACTACCCCTTCCAGTGGTCTGAAAGGCTATTGCGGTGAGATAACCATTTGGAGTGAGGAGATTGACGAAGGCTCTAAAGAAAACATTGAATTTCGTCTGAGCGCTAGGAAACTCGATAAGAAAGATTTTTTCGGAAAATCCGATCCATTTCTGAATATATATCGGTTAGAAGATGATGGCAGGTGGGTCAACACATTCTGTTGCTGGATACTGCTATAAATCAGCGTTAATTTTGTTTCAGTCGAGTTCTGGTGTATCGAACGGAAGCTATCATGAAGGAGCTGAATCCTACGTGGAAACCTTTCGAAATCAACTCGAAGCTACTTTGTCATGGTGATCGAGACAAGTTAGTTTTATTCAAGTGACGATTCGCTCACTTGAGTTAAAGTCTATCAAATAATCCTGATGCGAAAGTCGGTATTCTGTTATGATACAAATTTGGTATCTTGATCCTTTTACCACGAGATTTTTCAAGATAAGGTCTCATTTGTTATCAAGACTTTTATTTCCAAAGTACGGTAAAGAATTTGCTTTTGCATAGTGTACAAGAGTTGATTTTTTTACAGAAGGCTATCACAATGTACTTCACTGCGTTCTGCATGAAAGCCCCAGTTAAACTCTCATCCCTCACGTTCTATCAAAATCAGCGCGAAAGTTTTTTGCGGCTTATAAGATTGTAAAAAAAGTCATAAGCGAGATTTTATAAAAAATGCGTATCAGAGTTTCTCTTCCTCCTATAATAAATGTGTAGACGTGAGGAAATTGCTATGTAAATATATCATGCTATCTTTTCTCGTTTGATTTGAAGGGTAAAAAAAGCGTCCAAAACTCAGTAGCGAGTTCTGTCAAAAAATACATATAAAAAAGGGATGGCATGAAACTTCATTTTGCCACGTTCTTTTCTTCACTGCGGTACTCTCGAACTGAGACTGAAGATCGGAGATATGTTATTATCACTGATAATTTCTTTTTCAGATCATTTCTGATAGAATGCTATGATTGGGAGCGGGATGGCAGGTGAACTTACATTAATTTTTACCAAAATTTTTGTTCCACTGCTTGATTAGTGTAGACGCATAGAGTTAGTCCTCACCACTCGTGATGTACTTCAGTTTAAGTCACGACTTTATCGGAAGCTGTGAAGTGTCACTAAACCAGTTGCTAGCAAAAAATGCAGTGAAGTCAGTGCCGGTAGGTACCAGGGTAGCCGATGTTATCTACTTCTGAAGAAATAAAAAAATTATAGCTGATAAATGAGAAAAAGCAAGCGAAGAAGGGTGCGAAGTACAAAAACTCGGGGACCTTGGAGTTCGACGGAGTACAGGTCCTGAAGCAGCACACCTTCTTGGACTACATCGCTGGAGGGTAAGAGGACCATCATTTTTAGTACCAAAATCATATCCAATCCCGGTTTCATACAGAACTCAACTCGAATTTGCTGTAGCCGTTGACTTTACTGCTTCAAACGGGGCTGTCCACAAGCCCACTTCCCTTCACTGTATAAATCCGACACAACCCAATCAGTACGAAATAGCTATAAGGTAAGCTTGTTGAACATTTTCTCCATCCTCACCCCGCTCAACAAAACGAAACTTTCTTCAGGGCCGTCATTGACATCTGTCAGCACTACAACAACAGCAAACTCTTTGATGCTTTTGGCTTCGGTGCCATTCTTCCACCGGAAACTCATGTGTCTCCCATATTTTCTTTAGTAAGTTTAGCCGTGAATCTCAGGTGTCGTTCAAACTTCCCACCAACTAGGTACTCTTTTTTTGTAGAATTTCGATGCTAACCCGTCCGTAGTGGGATTACCCGGCGTGATGGAGGTTTATCGATTCGCTCTTAATCGAGTGAAGCTTTATGGACCAACCAATTTTGCGCCCGTAATCAAGGAAGTCGCCAAAAAAGCCGCCAGATTCAAATTGGATGGTGCTAGATATCAGGTGAATAGAACATATGCTGTTAAAAATTACTATGTGATCGGTTTCTTGCAGGTGCTTCTGATAATCACCGACGGTGCCATATCGGACTTAGCTGCTACGAAAGCGGCAATTATCGCTGTAAGATTATTCATTTTGTTGGGACCTTCTAGAAATCTGCTTGTGAATACATTGCCGTACCATCGTGTGCTTTTTTCAAAAAATTCTGCTAAAATATAAATCAGCAAAATTAGCCTCAGAGGCTTCGGTCAGTCTAATCCATCTAGCGTTTTTTTCTGCATATGTAACCAAGCTTACACTACCACAGCATACATATCAGAACAAGAATTCTTATCTTGAGAAGTAATCCCATGCAGCAACCGTTGTTTCATATTTTGAAAGTTGCTACGTTCTTCGTGTAATTTAAAAATCACACTGCTATGACCAGAGGCATTACTCAAAAACACATAAGTTTCTTACACAAAATTCTGTGCTTCTCCAAGTATGGTTTTCCGTGTCTACCCAAAATGCGAAAGTCAGTGGTGGCAAGCGCACGACCAGAGACGCAGTCGCCATTGGTTTGGCGCATCACGGACCTTATAAACTTTGTTGGAGAAAAAACGAGTTGAGGCGCTAAATCAGTGTTTTTGAAGCATTTCGCTATAGCGTTAGGGCAATAGGCAATAGCTAATCTTTGGCATCTGGTGTGATCTGTTCAAATTCAAACACCAAACTTACACTTCTACCTTTAGCAGGATTGGCGGCTGGAGGGCGAGGCTGCTTGGGCTCTTCACCTCTTTCATGAGCTTGCTCTCCTTATTTTCTCATCGCGGGCGTGGGAAAGACGGAGCTTCAATCACTAGAGCAGCACGATAGCGAAAGAGGTGCAGAGCCAGGCGAGGCGGCTGCGAGGACGTGAACCCCACCCACCAGACGCCAATCTTATTGAATCAGAGGGTATTCAACAGCCTCCACAAGTATTGAGCCACTTCGTCAAGCGCTGAGCCCCATTTCCACGAAAGAACAATTGCCTTCGCCAACATATTGTCCAAAAATTGATGCCTTATAAATGACGATAAAGACATTGAGCAATTATTGCAGGCTTCTTCTTTTCCGCTTTCCATCATTATTGTTGGTGTTGGCAACGATGAATTCGAGAACATGAACGAGCTGGATTCAGACGACCGTATGCTCTCACATGCGGGGCGGATAGCCCAGCGCGACATCGTTCAGGTAAATTTTCTCTTATTTGCCAGCATTCCATGCACCTCTGTAAACTCCTTCTTTTGCAGTTCGTACCCCTGCGAAACTTCATTCGTCAAGACTGTACTGGTGCAGAGAGCGAAAGAGTCATGGGCCTCCTAGCCAAGGAGGTGTTGGCGGAAATTCCTCTTCAACTAACATCTTTCATGAAAATGAGAAACATTCTCCCACGTTCACCTGACGATCCTTTCCCAAAAGATCCTGAAGCAGGTTGGTTTTTCCCTGACTTATCTCAGGATGTTTAATAGAAATTTATTCTGTTACAGTATACCAACCCAGTATGCCGCCAAGTATGCCCTACCCTGTTCAAGCTCCGAGTACTAGCCAACCTAGCCAACCACCACGGCGACCATCATACCCTGGAGTGCACAGTGTTCCGCAGCAATACCCTACGCTTCCACAGGTATTTTGCTAACCATTCTCTAATTGTTGCCCTTGGACGTTTATCATTTTCAGGAAGCTTCAGCTCCCTACCCAGGTTATCCTAGTCCGTTACCTCAGCACTCTCAAGCAATCGGCTATCCATACCCTTTACCAGCACAGCCAGTTCCTTTCCCTCAGCACCAGCCAATGTACCAGTTCTATCCCAGCGGACCTCCTCTGTACGCCCCCACTGCCATGCCCTATCCCGGCTACCCCCCGATGTCTACTCCATCTCATATGCCGCATCCTGTGTATCTACAACAGGCTGCTCCAAGCTCCAGCGCACCGACAGCCCCTCCCGTGGATTTGGATGAGATCCAACCGGAAATGGCAACAAAGCAAATGAGGAATATGAGCCTCAGACGATAATGACATTCTTTTCTGCCTTATCTCGCTTTTATCAGACTGTCTTTGCATTCGATGGGTATCTTCGTTTACTTTTTCTTTAACAAATGCCTAGCCATTGCTACCTGATCTCGCTGTCACTTGTGTTAATGCCAAGAATAATTATATTGTGACATGAATGCTACTCACTTCATTTACAACCTCTTTGTGAATTTGTGCGTTCAATGATTCCAGACACACTGATTCAAATAAATTAAATACCCTATTTTCCGGAGTATAAGCCGCACCTTGTATAAGCCGCACCCGCCGCAGCGAACAATGGCGCGAAAGCGCTTTAGAAAAGAGCTATATAGCAAATTGAAAACCCGGTGCGTTTTAGTACGGATAGTCATGTCTACCTTTTTTTCTTGTTTCATATGACTTTGCGGGTGTCTGGGTTGTGTTTTCTCTCCTAAACGATACTACTGGTTGACTGTGCTTTCTTTTTTCAATGATGTTACTGAAGTGGTGGTTGTGCTTTCTTTTATATTGATTTACCGGTCTGAAGCTTATCACCTTTCGATTCCATGTTACTACTGGTTTTCGAACGTTCTTTTATTGTTCAACGGATTCTTGAAGAATAATTGAGAAGGTAGAGAATTTTGTTACAAACAGATACACTTGCGAAGAAACCAAATAAAGAACGAAAGCAGAAAGTCCGTATTAGATTACCAGACGAAATAGATAGTAGGGGCTGCTTGTGCGGCTTCGCGCATCGCGAACGACATCGCAATTTAGCCCGCGCGCGGTGAAAAGAAATGCGGCTTATACTCCGGAAAATAGGGTAATTGCATATTTCATATGTGCTCAGCAGTTCTTGAAAATTTGAATATTGTGTTCAAAACTTTCAGTACTGGTTACCGACGCTTCGCACGTTATGCTACCATATCGGTCCGATGGTGACATATCCGGTGACTTTTGCAGATTTCTTTACCTTGATGCTTGTACATAGCTCTTGGCTATTATCCCGAAAATTTCCATGTGGAGAAACCAAAATTTCACTGAATAAAAGCACCACCTGACTCAAGTTCCTCCTTTGAAGTTAGCTTCTTTTATAAAACTAAGTGAAGATTCATTTGACCATAATGAGAACAAATCACATGCTGAAATCAATTAATTGTGCACATCACTTTCCAAATCTGAGTCTTTAGATGGAATGTTTGGGGTTGACGGTGGGAGGTAGCAATTCTTATATGGGTTGCGCAAGTCAAATGTTCAAATGATGAAAATAGGAAGAAGTTGTACCTTTGAGTTGGTGAAACGGTAATTAGACCAGGTAGTCTACTCGACGAGAAATCGTTTCTAGCCGCTACAGCATCCATGAATATATGGGTCTTTGGTGTGTCTACAAAACTTCTCAAGTGACTGCTCAGGTTCAGAGTTGAACTTATGAGGAGATCGCCTCAAGTAGTTTCGCATTAGATTAGAAGGACTAAAGTGAAACCCATCCCATCTTATTATTCCGCAGCCTTCCAACAAGGGAGGTTAACACGAAGTGGGCAGATGAGCACAAGATGCGTACCCTTACCAACAGCTCGGAGCGATGATTCCAATACTTTGGGAAGGAAGTTGTGGGCGTTCCTGGGGGTTGGGATGCGCGAGCGCTTGTATAGAATTCTGAACCCAATAAGCCGTGTAATCATAGGCAACGGCAAGTGTGCCGTTTTTGAGGAAAGGCATGTTCAAATTCGCCGTGAGCCCATTTTTTACATTGTGAATTAACAGAATGATTTGTACTGCAAACGACATTACCGAAGCAAATTAAACACTTCTCTCGGTAACGGTATGCATCTTGTGCTGATTGATCACTTCGACTTCGAGGCCCCCTTGTTAGAAGATGGAATGAAAATTCATTAGGCGAATGTTGCTTCAAGCTTGATTTCCCTTGCGATGTCCTAGGTGGTTTTCTTTACAGTCTCGTTGCATTTGATTGTGTAATAAGGGTTTCTGATTTAGAGCGGTTTTGTTCATATCCTCTGGAACAGAGAGTGCCATTTACACTCACCAGTGGAGAAAAGCTTGATTCGTCAGCCAAAATACCAACTTGTTTCATGATTGGAGGTTGTGGCACCAGTTAGTACATCAAGAATGACATGTAAACGTGTGACGGGTTTTCAGAAGGAAACAAGATGTGAGACGTTGATATTAGCATACAATCACAGCAGCATCCACTGGTTTTCAATTTTTCGAACTCTCTCTCTCTCTCGGATGCACTCTGCAAAATATTTCTGTAATGCTTTAGTGATTTTTGGATCTGTGAGAACTCTATCCAGGAACGTATGAGTATTTTGACTCTCTCTCTCTCTCTCTCTCTCTCTCTCTCTCTCTCTCTCTCTCTCTCTCTCTCTCTCTGGCTTCTCCCTTTTCCATAAACCATGAATGATTACCAGACTTTATTATGACACAATTTATAGAAAATGAGTATATAGAGGTACAATAGACAGACATGTATACAAGCGTAAGTATAAGAGATAGATGATGAGAGTAGATGGGAGTAGAGATAGATGAGAGTAATGGATAATGAGATTTCAGTAGGAGTACATGATATCAAGAGTAATGAGGACTCACCTGGATTTGAACTTACACAATACAAAACAATGATAGAGGAAAATGAGGGAGAGAAAAGGTGAGGGACGATCAAATGGGATGCAGTGGCGCAGCACGCCGCCTCCTGCGGCGTGCGCCGCTGCAGTCGCAGTGAAAATATGCGCCCACGGCAGCACAGCTTCGTCGGTCATGGATGTATCTTACTATAATAAATCTTTTGGTAACTGCCAAAGCGATGCGACGAGGGTACTCTCCTCCCCCCTAAGCTTTACCGTTGTGCTTGTGTTCTCTTACAGTGTTAACAGCAGATTCGCGACAACGAGGGCAGTCCAGATTATGCGGCGACGAAATATAACTGCGATACATGAACTAACACGGATGTGCGAGAAACGCCGAGAGAGTACTGGGGAGCGCATGCACTCTAGGAGGATCCACATAATTGCATAACAGCGACGTAGAGTTGACGGCGTTCGTAGTTAGTTTCCAGACTGTATGCACTTTGAGTGCAAATTATAGAGCTTGTTCCGCATGGAAAGTGCAAATATGGGCAACAGCCAGTCGTCAAAGATCACCTCCTCATTCATAAACAAGCAAAGAAGGGATCAAGTGCGTGTCATGTACAAAGCCAAACAACAACGAAATATTGATTCCAGACTATCGAATTAGTGCAAATGTCTGATCCCCAGTTGCTATCATAATCTGGAAAACTGTCGCCCATTTTGCTTCCTATCCTGCCTAACTTCTTAAAATCATTAGTTTTCGAAAAGCACATTATGATTTTGAACAATATGAAGGTTAGAGTAAGATATTATAACCTATCAGTTTTACGGGGAGTGTACTTTTTGAAAATACTGCTTTTGCCTCTGGAAATAGAAAAAACAGGGGGAGCTACGTCTCGTTGGAAGAAAAGAACCGGCGATTCATGCGGTAGTACATTTTCCTACATTTCTAGGAACATTTGCTAAATTTCTAGGATTAAATGCTGAATCTCACAAAAACCTGTTAAATACTTACTTTTGGATGCTTTTACACTGTGTAAATATTGTTGTTGCCTCTGGAAACAAATGAGCAGAGGGAGCTCGGTCTGCTGGAAGGAAAGACCCAACATATCCACTCGAAAACACATTTCTTCCAACTAGATTTTGATGTGAAAATTCACAGAAACTTGCTGCATTTGTTTTTGGCGGCCCCTACTTTGTGAAATCCCTACTTTTGCCAATAAAAACACAGCAGAGGGAGCTTGTCTTAATGGAAAAGAAAAGACCTAGTGTTCATGCGGCAGTACATTTATGATATAATTCCCTAGGTTTCAGTGCTGAATGTCACAAGAAGGGCTTGAAATTCAGTTTGGCCGCTTTTATCTTGCGAAAACCGTACTTCTGCTTTAAAAAGCGTAAGTCTTGAAGAAAGGAAAGCTTCAAGGACTTTATGCGGCAGCGCATTTAGGCTAAAGACTTTTCAGTTTCACTGCTAAATCATGCGGGAGCTCGCTTGAAATTCGCTCTTGAATACCCAGAGGGCTCATGGCAGGGCCCGGCACGAGTCGGTTTCTAGAGTTTCTGAAAACGAAGTCTCCCCTGATTTTCGGAAGTTTTACGAAGTCCCCTTTGACCTACCTGCTCAGGAGAAGATAAAAACAAGAAAGATTTACTAGTTTAAAAGAAAAGACGTAAGATAAGAGTGGAAATCCAAATTGGTGCTGAATACTACGCATGCACAAAACTTTGGCATAAGAGCGCGATATTTAACAAAGCGAGAAGAAATGAAGGCAACGAACAAAGGAAAGGCAATGATATGGAAATGTCTTCATGCTCAGGATAGATTTTTGACCTGGGAATCCGTCCATGCTAAAAAGTGAAGTGACGAAAATATATGCTCCAGACGATCTCAGATCGTCTGGTGGCCGTCTGGAGACGATCTAATTTTGGAATAGGTATTATTTCACATAAGTTTTCAAATCTTTTTATATAATACTTTCGCAAATAATTTTCTGTACATACAGTTCAATTTTGGTGTCATATGCTTCTGTGTGCGCTGTAAACAAGCAATTTGTTTATTTGAGCCTTGCTTTAAAATCGCGCGCACTTTTCGCCATGCACGATAGAGCATGTCAACCGTGTGATAACGGGTAGGAGAACGAAAGCCGCCAGTTTGAGCCGCCTTTCTCGGCCAACTGGTCCTTTCGCAGTGTTGTTGCATGTCGTCCCAGGACCAGCACTCCGCGGAGGCGGCCCAAACTGGCGGCTTTCGTTCCCCTACCCTGTGATAACCTGTCCGAAAAGCTTTGTTCGATTAAATGGCGCTTATTCTTGGTGCTCGGTTCCGACTCGTCAAAAACGATATCCCTTTTGCTGTTTGCTTCAAAAACGAAGTCCAGCCTGCTTCCAGACGATCTGTGCCGGGCCCTGGCTCATGGGACATTTTTGCTAGGATTGTTCAAGAAAAAGCTTTGAGCGAACTTTGGTCTCGCTTCAAGAAATGACCGTTTCTTGGCGAGACGTAATAAGGAGAGTATAGGACTGTGCATGATCGCGAAGCTCGGTGTGTTAGCGGCCGTTTCACAGTTCCTGAGTGTCAGCCTGAGTTTCGGGTTGAATCGTTCTACATAGATGACTGCTGAGGTGGTCTTCATGATTAGTAGCTGTGGTATCTGGG